CCAAGATTATTCTCAGTTTACCTAATTTTTATTCTTCTACAGACGTATTGAAAGAACTTTGTTGGCCAACACTTTTTAAAAATAGGTTATTTCACCTTTGTGTCTTCGTTTTTAAGTATGAAAATGGCGTTATAGATTTTAAGTTTGATACAAAGCGAATCAGTGACATTCATTCTTATAATACTGGTGGCAAATCCAATTTCTCTTCTATCTCGCCTCGCTCAGCCGAATAGAAACATTTCTATTATATGTAGAGGACAAATAGTGGAGGGAGCCGCCGGCAATCAAGTTTATTTACAAGAACTGAGACACGCTGATTACAGGTTACTTGAGCCAGAGAATCTAAGAAAATGTCACACGTTATTCAGTTAAACAACGATACTGTCAGTAAGGAAAAACAGCCTCGAGTAAAGTGGTCGGCGTCAAGTGGTGTAATATTCACAAGGAGTGGTATATAAAGGTATGATTATCCCAGTCGCAACTAATACAAAGCAACCTAATTAAACACCTAACATTTTTACTTACTGCGAGTTAGACGCAATTATGGAAAACAGCGCCTTTTATATCAAGGAATAGCAGAATGGAACAGCTATGACAAATCAATATGTGACATGAGGGTTTTTAACTGGTTTCAATCCTGTTATTTTATTGAACATTTTAATATTGTGTTTTTTAACTTTTGATATTTTTAACTATTTCAAATTTAACATTTTTCTTTTTTCTTTTTTCTTTTGGCAGGGCCTCACTNATTTTTACTTACTGCGAGTTAGACGCAATTATGGAAAACAGCGCCTTTTATATCAAGGAATAGCAGAATGGAACAGCTATGACAAATCAATATGTGACATGAGGGTTTTTAACTGGTTTCAATCCTGTTATTTTATTGAACATTTTAATATTGTGTTTTTTAACTTTTGATATTTTTAACTATTTCAAATTTAACATTTTTCTTTTTTCTTTTTTCTTTTGGCAGGGCCTCACTGAATAACACCTTTGGTGATGTGAGCTCCCTGGTTAAATAACATTATTATTATTATTATTATTATTATTATTATTATTATTATTATCATCATCATTCTTATCATTATTATCATCATTATCATTATTATCATTATTATCATTATTGTCATTGTCATTGTCATTGTTATTGTTATTGTTACTGTTATTGTTATTGTTATTATTGTTATTATTATTATTATTATTATTATTATTATTATTATTATTATTGTCTTTTGTGCATAACTAAACAAACAGGTTATCATTGTCTTGGCGGCTCATAGCCATAGACATTTTTTCACTGTTATTTTCTTCGCAAAGGGTGCGACGGCCTTTAAGTTTCAGAGGATATACGTAAAAAGCCAACCCACCTTACCTAGTTTCGTTTTCGTTTATTGGACAATATATGTTTCCCTCAGATAGAACAATATGTAATCTTACAAAGTCATCATTTTCGACATCTCTACCCCGCCATCTTTGATCACACCAGAATGTAAAAAAATTAGTAATTCATTTTCCCAAGAAAACTGGACAAAATGAACACGGGCCACACCCATAAAACAGACTCTTCGGAGGAACGTCG